CCTTCCCTCCAGCGTTATCAACCGAGCCACACAGCTTGGTGTCATCGGCAAACTTGCTGAGGGCGCATCAATCCCACTGTCCATGTCATCAGCAAAGATGTTGAACAACACAGGTCCCAACACCGATCCCTGAGGGACACCACTCGTTACCTCACAGTTAAAAAAGGACTGAATATTCTGATGAATCAAGTCAAAATACTGAGTTGAGAAATTCAGCAAGCTGCAATAAGGGCTTCAAGAATCCACTGTTAGTCAATGATACACAATCATGGCTAATGAGTCTGAATCTTTGGGACATCTTAATTATTCAACTCAAAGCATTTGAATCTTTACATTTTTTGACATCTCCCAGGACAAATGAAAAATCTTCTGTTGGCAATTACTTCTGTTAGTATGGAATTATTATTTATCACAGACTTCCGTGCCAAAAAGCCTTCTGAGATACCAGATGAAAGTAAGAAGTTAAACAGAAGCCATGCATAATCAGCATGTATTTTTATGAGATGAGCTACCAGAAAAATCTAAGAAGAATGTTACTAAAGTCTAAGGTTTCCTTCACAATGCAGAAGATGTACTAGTACAACAGGAAGGTGTGCTACATCTCCTGTACTTGCAGAGTGCTTTGTCAATAATGAAACAATTACTGTGATAATAAGTGAGACTTATCTGCTGATAATCACACTTCCTAAAATTTACGGTAATTTTCCTGAAACATGCTAGTATTAGTGAAATTTTCATAACTGCAATCAGCTTCCCTTTAGAGTAATTTTTTTAATGAGCATTGGCCTTCCTTTACAAATGCAATAAGAAAGGAAGAACAAGTTTCCCTATCAAACGGTCACAACTTCTTGTAAGACTATTATTTAGGCTTTTGATGCATATTTACCCCTGAATTGAAGCAATTCACCCCTGTCCTGTTACTGTGTACACTCAAAATAATGAATATCCCTTAAAGACCTAGAGAGCAACACCATTTCCTGCCTTTTCTCTGCACACTGATGATCAGCTTGAAAAAGGGACCTCCTTAAGATAAGATGGACACAACACAAATGATCATTTCAAGTTCTATATACAAGGACATTTACAATGCTTCAACAGTTTGTGCAAAACTGTTTTGAAGAATACCTTGCAACCCCTTCTCACCTAGTGTAACAGTTGATCCACAGTCCCACTGTACTATCCGTAGAAATAATATCGCAAAATATGCCCCAAGTTAATTTAAAATCAGCTTTTGACATTGATATCTTTTATAGATTTTAGGGTCGAAACTGACCTCCTTGATTAACAGGCAGTTTATAGGCACATCTGTGGGTAGAAGTAACACACGCTTCTGTCCATGGGAGGCTACTTCTAAGCATTTCAAGTTACTTGTGGGATCGAAGAATATGCCTCACAGACTTGGATTTTACTAAAATTTTACAATTGCTTTAAGAAATAGCATGTTAGAATTTAAGGCATTTATAATTAACTCCCGTATCCACACCAAACACTTCACATTTAACTAAAATACAACAATACAAGTTTGAAAGCTGCTTTCAATTCCCTTTTAAGCAAGCCCTTTGCTTTGAAGGCTGAAGAAGAAAAGCACCAAAAGTTCTAAATGAACAACACTTCTCCAACTTACTCCCAAGTTATAAAGGAAAATCTGGAAGCTATCAAAAAAGTGTATATATTTAACTACTGTTGAAAAAATAATCATAAATACTTAACCTGAGGATGACAATTACATGATTAAAATGTTCTCATGTGAAATTGCTAACAATTATAAACCTTATGCATCATTTTTACTTCTTTCAAAGGACATTTATAGTTTACTCATTTTGAATTGAAAGCTTTTAAAACTTGCGTGCAGTTGTTTTTTTTTCTTTTTTTAAGAAGTTTTAACAGCTGTTTAATAAGATAAAAACATCTTTGTTATACTTTGGAGAGTAATACTGTGTCTGTAACTTTGATGAAGTATCAAAAAAACCCACAGAAGCTTAAAAGTGTTCATTTTTTATTGGATGCCTTAGAACTACATGGATTTAAGTGTTTTTATATAAAAAAACCCAAAAACCCAAAGACTACCATAACAATAGAAGAGGAGTAATTTGATGGTTTATTTACTTGTTATAACCTTTAAAAAGTGTCAAGCTTTCTTTAAAGTGTTTGCTCCAGGCTGTAGTTTTACAAGATGGGCTGTGGATTGGTCAAGCCTCCTCGATTCTTGACCCTGAACAGATTTAGGAACAAAGTACAGCTGGCTCATGTCCAGGCAGCCAAAACTGCTGCTAGGTACTTTTATTATCTTCTTCAAACTCATAATCTACCTCCTACAAAATTGCACATCCAATTTCTCATGCAGGTCAATCAAACAGTACTCACAGAAACTACAGTTTCTGATTGTTCCACACTGTAATCAGAATACCCTTCATACCAGCACAACTTTTAGTGGACCACAGATATCCTTCTTCAGTTTTGATCCCAAGACAAATGTTAAAGGGAGAGAAAAACGTAACAGCTTTATTCTAACTTTAGTTCCTGATACAACATTTCTGGATCTTAACAGTAATGATAGTTAACCAAAACCTTTAATAATCACATATTCGGGATTTATTCTTAAAAGCTTTCCTTTCTCAGAAATACACATTTCTGTTTCTCTACCAACCACTTATTTTCCTTTGGAAATATTTCATTGCTCTGTCCTTGATTTCACTGCATAGGCTGCAATTGCTCTATATTGAAATAAATCTCACCTATCAAAATATATTCCTTAAAGTATTATATGTGGTCTACCAAGATGCTTGCACCAATGCTCTTCTCTCCAACTTCAGCTAATCCATTCCTAATCAAAAGCCATGTCACTTGCTAACACAAAAGTGTTCCATACACCCCATAAACCTCAGTACCGCTTAGTCTTTTATGCCCCCATAGTTATTTATTTTTTAATGTTCAGCTTTCCTTGTTTGTTTCATTTTGCCAAAAAGTACCCTAAGTTACACTTAGGCAGAAAATCCAGGTATAAAACTATTAGGATTTTTTGTTCTC